CTATTACTTTATAACCTGAAGATGAACTGCTTGATTGAGAAATTGTTTCACGTATTGATTTTACAATTGTTCTCGATAAATACACCTTTCTGCAGCACGACCTTTCTTAAATTTTGTTAAAAATTTACCCTCCCCCCAACCAGGCATCTGTTGTTGGATTATAATGTACTCAATTGGCGGTTCATCTGATAATTATTTCCAGCACTTTTGAAAGGCTGCATATGAAACGTAAACGCTAAATAAAACACTCAATCCGGCAATTGTCATCTGGATGACGAGCGAGAGCAAACGCGTCGACAATGAAACAAAGCCAAAAATAAACCCGGAAGTGTTTGCTCATTTGCGAAATAGCAACCGTTTCCAACACGGCTAAAATTTAAGTTGCAACGGTCGAAATCTAATAATAACTGCGATTTACAAATGCAAACCTATAATCGTACGATAGACATAATAATACTTGATGGTAGCTAAGTGCTCGCATTTTAAATAGCATACTTTTAAAGCGATGATATTCAAACTTAAGGCCGAAAGTTATCAGTTACTTTATTAAAACAAAAGTATATGTCCATTAATTACGTGCATGAGTTGTTCACACTGTCTAGGCAAAAGCATTCGCATTCTACTACTGAAATTCGCAAATTTATGAGAACACTGCTACGCACTTTAAAAGATTTGATCAAATATCTTTATAAGATTTGACGATGGATGGACACTATTAAGAGGGTTTCAAAAAACTAAATTTGATCTTCATGGCACCACCTACTGCACTCAAAATAAATTATTATATGAGGCGATAAATGTTCTTTCACAATCATGGAAGTAATTAGTATAACCTTCTTCAGTTTACACCTGAAAACAAAATACACAAAAATGACATGCACAAATGAGTATGTTATCAGTGCCATGAGCATTATCTATAAAAGGCAACTCTCTATATTCCACTTGAATGGGATTCTTAAAATAGCATCAGCCTCTTTTATGCAGAAAATGTCTATGTATAGTTAAAGAACATAAAATTTCATATTTCCTGAATTTCCTTAAAATGCATATGGAAACCTTTGTTCGAGGGAATAAGCATCCATTCATGTGAGAGGATAGCAAACTGCAATATTGTCAACGCTCTCAATCCAATCCAACAACGAATTTTACCAGCTATGCAACGACCAGGGCAAATATTTCCTTTTGTTGCTACACTAAATTTGGTTGGCAATAGAAAAGAGCTGCAACCTCAATAGAACGTAATCTGGAAGGTCATTCAGGCACAAACTTTACGAAATTTGCTAAACAACAGTAAGGAGTAGATTCCGTGATAGTATAAATTAAATATAAAAAAATTAACAATTTCTTGCAAAAGCGCTAGAGCCTGACGATATCGTTTAATATAACTGTTTAACAGATTGACTAGTTATTAAAATTATATCTACTATATGGCTATTTATCTGCTTCTGCTTTTAATAAAAAGTCGGTTACTATCTATCGCCTTTAAAACTACCCATCTATTTGCTCGCATTATCTTTCATATCACTTTGCAATTCAACAGCTTTTCACTCGATTTTAGTAAATCGAACTAAAACAATGTTTCCGAACTTCGTACCAAGAGGCGTTGGGTAAATCAAGCACAAGCGACATATGATTTGACTATTTTCCTTTCTGATCGAATTTACTTCGGCAACTACCGCTTGCGAAAAGTTTGTACGCCAATCTACGGCATTTTCCGAAAAAGGACGTAGATTCGTCGATGTAGAAATAACATACTGTAACAATGCAGATGTTGTCGAGCTGATGCAATGACTGCAGTTTCCAATTGTGAAGTGGCATGTTTAAGTAACACTTCTCTTAAGTGAATTTTATTCTTGTAATAATTCCAAATGACCTTATTTAGAAAATTAAAAGAAAAGCATGCGAAATGTTTCAAGATGGTTCATATCTTGTTAAACAAAAGTTTATTTGGCTTCAACGGATATAATTTAGATACAGATCTATTACATTTTTAGTGGTTATTAATGGCATCTATAAAATCTACTACAGATGCAAGATTTAAGGAGAACAAACATCGAGAATTAATTAAAAAGTTTTTGTGTAAAATAAATACAAATGGGAGTTATTTTTACTGACAGGTAATTTGTTAGAAGAATATGATTTCGCCGATAGAACTTCACGATATGATTATCCAAAAATTAGATTACAGCATTGCTGTTGAATATTACCGATTATTACCGGTTCTGCAAGATATAGAAACATTATATTACAAAATCCAAGAACTTTCCTGAAATTTACGGAATTTATTGAGTGACAATTGCACGTTTTATAAAATTATATCTCCTTTTCTTGGAAACAACGAAATATTGTTCCTACACAAAAATCACTCCACATTAATTTTGTTGAGTGTTTGGACACTGTTGTCCAACGGCTACCAACCATCAGAATAAACATGCTTTTGCATATTTGACGGTTTTTTGAAACGGGTTGCAATTTTAAGTAGCTTTCTAAAAGTTTCACTTTTATATGATTTACGTTGGTTTACAGTTGCAAATACATTTTAATGGGTTTCGTACTCTTGGAATTCTGCCTGCTATTTAGGGACTTGACATTACAGCTTTTCCACATTTATTGTTTTAATTGATAATCACAAATACATTTTTCCACATTTTGTTTTACGCAAATGTAATCTCACCTCACACAAACTTACAGATTACCCCTAATTGCCCAAATGCTTTTGAGAAAGTCGATTCGGTATTTTTCGAGTGCAAAACAAGCTCAGTTTCCGGAATTTTGCTTCCAATCGAGTTTACACAATGAAAAGTGAATTTATAACTCACTAGTTTGCTAGCCACGAGTAGAAAATTACCAGGAACTTTTCTGGAGAAACTGCTTGCTTCCGTCATCTTACTTTTAGTTTAAATTAATATTTAATGCACTTCACAAATGCCACCACAACAGCCCTTGAAATTTAAGGTGAGGGTTTAATTTCGTGAATAAATTTTTGGAAATTTTATTTGATGCAGTTTGAATTGCTAAACTAAAATTCAGGTGATTAATTAATTAATTAGTTAATAAATTCTGAGATGAAAGCTCGTTACGAAAACTTTATTTGTTGACTTTTATTTGTAACGATTTGAAAGGAGCTTTTGTCGCCAAGGCGGTGCTAAATCCAATTGCCTCTATTTTTTTTCTTTAAACAGTCAAATAATCGGTTGATCCATTTTGCTAAAATTACAATGTTTTTTGTTCACCGTTTATCGAGTAAATTTTTAGATATTGTTGGAAGAGTCGAAACCTTAATATGTAGGAATATTAGTCAATAATAATCAGTTGACAATTTGAATGATGCAAATTAAAATCATTTTCGCAGTATGCTTTGATCTCGTTCGCTGATTTCGTTTAACACAAAACAGTTGATTTGATATAAATAATAGTTATACATGAAGTCAGAAAAAAATTAAATTGGGAAATCTGGTAAAACGAAAGTGGATAGTTTAATAATAATGGAGGGTGTAAATATGCAACACATATCAAGAGAGGGCCATTTGAAGTGTTAGAATATTATAACACTAATTGTAGAAAGTCTGTTTAGAGTAAAATAGAAAATAACATAATTCCTTGAGTAGTAACAGACAGAACGTAAGTACGTAAATACATGCATGGATTTCAGAGAGATTAATCTATGAAATAAAACACAAACACAAAAATAACGAGCACAAGTTGAAAATTGTGTTATTTGTCCGCTAAATGCACGTGGTTATAAACTTATGTAGTTAAGCAAAGCACGTGGTATGAGAGAAGTAATAATTGCATTTTTGCGGGAATTGTTTTGCCTCGTTTTGCTTTACATTCCGCTCGATATTTTGTTTCGATATCATGTTATAAGCTTCATGAGCAGTTAAGTAACTTCTAGAAAAAGCACACGGCTTCGAACAAGCGAACTGACTGACTAAAAAAAATGTTAAATACGACGTATTTTGACACTCATTTAGAGTTACATTTTCAAACTTCAATCCCAATAATAAATTGGTTTAAATAATTGTCAACCTCATGTTCCATTATAGTATGCAGCATAAATCCTAGGAAGTGAGAGCATAAGTTCACAACTTATTCAGCAACATGGCGACTGCTTACGCCTCGCTGGTTTCCCTTAATTTAATTTCTAAAAGTTCGGTTGGGCAGCATATTGCTGAATATTAATATCAAATTGTCAATAATCATGTATGCTTGCTATTGTTTATAGATACAACATTAATGCAGGCAAGTAGCAAGTAGGTAATTTTTTCATACAAATTTAACAATAGTGCCATTTGTAATAATATGTAGTGCATTTGTGTTGTATTTGAAGATTCGTTCATATCTGCATCAAGTGACGTTAACAAACTAATTAAATTATAATTAAAATATATTTCGAAATGCAAATAATTATCGGGTTGCCTGGATGTTTCGACTAAAACATGAACTTTGTGCAGTTTCAATTAATTCATACCAATTAATGTTTTTCAGTATGCAAGACGACGAAAATTACGTTTATCAAACACATATGAATAAAATATGAATTTCTAGTTAAGCGTTGTACACTCATTTCAGGAACACTTGGTATCTTTTAAATTTGGATTTTTGAATAAATTATCATCGTTTTATTACAAAGGTTTTATAAAAAGATGTCCACTTAACATCAATGTTTTCCTTGATTAAATATACCGGGTGTCCCGTAAGGCCATGGTCAAAAGTTGTATCCCCTTGACTTTTGATTTTTTGGCTCAACAAAAACGAGCTGACTGAACTTTTATTCAGGAAAAATTTCTGGCGACTCCGCTTGAGATGGCCATAGTCAAGATATATAAAAACATCATCTTTGAAGAACTTTGCCCATCAAAAGCAGAGAAACCGGGCATTTTTTCTTAAAAAAGAGGTCAGATTATCTTCAACCAAAGGATGTCGCAGTGCTCTTCTGATCATGTGCTTACGGGATACCCTGTATATACAACTGGTGATAATTGTTTAATTAGACAGCTTTGTAGAAACTTAGGTTAAAATATTCCCAACCTTCAAACAATTATCAGGGGAAGTTATCAGTAAAAATATTGCTTTTTAAAGCCGCACTCTAAGTGGTTTAGCATAAGTTATTTCCATAACTTCCGCACGGCAATATGTCTATAATAGTGTTGTTTCCCATTCTGTTGTTTATCGCAGCAGGTAATGGTAAGTATGCGCGATTATTTATTCTTAAGTTTTAAGTAATTATAAGACACCATTTATTCGCAAAATGCCTCAGAATCCATAATTCGCAGAATAGTATCATAGTGACTGGACCATTATAGTCAAAAATAGGTTTCATTAGATTCATAATTTAGTAAATGAAAAACGCAAATGCCTACACCGTTCAAGAGGCTGTATGGTGTGAGTACAAACTTTTCTATCTAAATTATGCTGGTTGCAAATAAAGAGCAACTTTTGTGCTTCAAATAAAACTTTACCGGATTGCTCATCACAACTTATTGTGGTTTTCTTAAAGATTTTCAATAAAAAAAATGTATGGACTGGATCGTTTCATAGAAATCAATCAAAACCAACGTTAACTTTATTTCCTATTGAAATGAGAACTAAACACATTCGGTAAAAAAAAACACTCAAATGGAATCAATTCGAAATTTCATGTTACCAAATGTAACGTTACAAATATCTAACCTTTCAAGACACCTGCTTATAACTGGTTTATTACACTTGCGTACATATCATAAAATATCTCCACCACATTTTTAAACATCATTTCGCAAATATGACCACAACAAATTTTACAATATTTTCGATTTTGATTAAAATTGAAGCACAAGCAACAAATAGCATAAATACAACAGTAACACCAGTGGAAAGATGCGGACCAAACCAGTACTGGAACAACTGCCCAGATGGTTGTGCTCCCAAACCTACTTGTGACAATCTAAACTACACACAGCCAGGAGGAGCTATATGCCATGAACCAATATGCAGACCCAATTGCACCTGCATTAAAGGGTATGTCTGGTTTAAGGGCGAATGCATAAGGCGAACGCAATGTCCAAATTACGATCCAGGTAAGGACGAATTAAATGATTTGAATCAGATTTCACTCAAAAAAAAACATTCAGTTAAACTGCCATAGCTTGAGATAGTTGGTGGCTTTTCACCTTCAATTTCCTTTAAGTACAAGCATTAAATAGTTTTAAAATTCTATGCTTCCAGAGCTAAATTCTTGTGGAATAGGAGGATTTGAAGACAATTGTGCTACAGCATGCCAGTTGGTCGAAAGATGTGTCCCTGAAATTCTAGGCATAGGACCCGTCATAATATGTACCCCACGATGCATTAAAGAATGCAGGTGCTATCCTGGATATGTATTATTTGAGGGTCGCTGTATCACATGGTCGGATTGTTATAGAAAGTTTCGACCAACACATTTTCATACCACAACGGTCGAAACTACAGAAGTCGCATAAAGATGCGCGCTGACGTCTATTCAAAGAAAACTGTAAACACTAATAAATAAAAAGTATTATGCTAACTGTTGCTTTTGGTAACATCAGCACTCACACAGTTTGATGAAGTTTTATAATATGCTCGATAGTGTGCTTAGTAAATAAGCAAACGAGGAGACAAACCGAAATACTACATTTTAAAGGCAAATATTTTGTTTTTAGTGGACTTGATTTTAAATATGAAAACACGTTCTATAATAATTTGCAATATGTTATATTTTTTCGATTCGGCTTCAGCCAATTGCCATTTAGATTCGAATAGCCAAACGCACTCAGAGTACTTTTAAATCAAATTTATTTATTAATAAAAATACGTTCCGGTGTATTTTTCCACCATCATCAGTTTTTCTAAAATAACAGATAATTAAAAAAAAATTTTCATTAATTTAAAAAACCACCACAGTTCGTCAACAGCCTCATCATATCACACATTAAGATACATCACAATTACAATACTTATTATTTCCCACAAAAAATACAAATAATCTGAGATTTTCTTCAATCAGTTTAAGATATTATTAACTTTTATACGATTTTTATGACTTGGTAAGTTTCCTAATTCTTTCTACTTGACTAAAATATTACATGCAAATTTTCTCTGGTTTTAATGTTTGTTGCAATACGTTATAAATAATATTTATTTCTGTAAACTCTCGATCTATAGTAAAGCATTTCCAGAAATTTCCTTTTTTAAGATCGAGAACGTTAGTAAATTTTAAGTCCGGATAAGGACCAAAAATCACGTCGTATGGACGGTCCTTACAAACCAAAGCGTCGTATGTACAGCTTTGAACGACGTAACGTGACAATCACGTGATATGACGTCAATTTGCTGCTTCGATAGAGCTCATTTCGACAGAAATCTTGGAAAGGCATTTATTCTGCGACGTACTAAAACTGAGAAAAACTTTCAGTTTTTCACTCATCGTTCAGTAGAATAATTGATAAAATCGTATTCCATTAACTCTAAACAATGCAAATTTGAAGCGTTAGTTGATTTGCTTACATTGAAAGCATAAGACTAATAAATAAAAATTACGAAGTCTAGTACAAATATTATCAGCTTATTTAATGTTGCAAAATAGTGCTGTTTCAAATTCCAAGCCCACATCTAGATAATCCGGTTATTATTTGAGCATTAAAATATGGCACGAACAAAACTTTTTAGACAATTTAATACGAATATACATGATTTGAGATAATTTTAAATGTCCCATTTCTTGCTACTTAAACAGGCGATTAATTCACAGCGTATTAAGTTAAAAAATCGTTCACTATGAAGCTGCTTTTCATAGTTTTACCGTCACTTTTTCTTGTGACTGTTAGAGGTAAGTTTATACGTTGCAATACAATTGAATGAATACAGCATCGAATAATGATAAATGTTGTTTCATTTGCTTCATGTCAGTTACGTAAATTTAGTTTTCTTTAAAAATAACAGGGGCGTATCTATGTGGGATGAACCAATACTGGAACAGGTGTGCCTCTGGCTGTTATTCTGAACCCACGTGTGAAAATCTTCCGGGTGGATTGGTGGTTCCAGGAGAAATTTGTCAGGGCCTTTGCGTTGAAAAGTGCTCTTGTGAAGATGGATATGTTTGGCATAATGGACAATGTATCACGCCACTGCAGTGCCCGGTTAATGAGTGTGCAGGTAGATGTGTTCCCTAATATTGAGGTTTTTCTTAATTTAAAGCCATTTTTTTTTTCAAAAATAGAACAGAATTGCAGAAGTTTTTTATTATCGCATTTTCCAACAGGGTTCCTTCATTCTTGTGTCATGTTAAAAGCAAATTAGCTAATCTACTAATTGCTTGATTTGCTTAATTTTGGTTGATAAATTTAAATAATTGCAAAGAAGTTTCCAAGAATTGCATAATTTACAATTAACTAATCTGGCATTTTAGATACAGTGCTTTATTCGTGTGGCATAGGGGGATATTTTGACCCATGTACCTCCGGATGTAATCCACCTCCAACATGCGCCGATCCGTTTCCAGCACCTTTACCTCCAGATAGCCTTTGCGTTGCTGATTGTGTACCAGGTTGTTCTTGTTATCCCGGTTATTATTTGCAGAATGGCGTATGCGTAGACTGGTCATTTTGTTAGTTAAAATATATTTAATTATTAAACTTAATTTAAACTTAAATTAAATAAAATTAAATTAGAGTTGAACGGCATACCGAAGCAATACAATAATTTTGTGGTTTCTAAGGTTTCTCTGTGTTTTTTAAGTTGGTTGGAACATACATTACAGACACTCAATTGGATGACGACGAATATATGCTTGAATATACATCTAATATCTGAAACACTATGTAACCGCGCTATCATGCTGGCTGCAATATAAATAGAAAAATAAGGAATTATTTTTTAAAAATCCAGCACAATCCCATAACGTAAAATTTAATTCGTCCTACCTGAAATTTATTCTAGAAATTGCAACATCGCAGAGTTCCAGAGAAATTAATTTCCATTCCTAACACTCGTATAAATTAATCAGCTATACAAAGGAAATAAAAAAAATAAAAATTCTTGGCTTACAAAACAAACAGATCTTAGTCCTTAGTTCAGTTGCGTCTGTAGGTGTTCTAGTAAAGTATCTGTTGGGGAACGAAAACGGGAGTGTTTTGTCGGCCTTGTGAGGCAAAAGGGATTCAGTATGGTCCAGTTGTGGGGGTTGTTTGTCCATTTTGTCTGTAAGTGTATTAGTCTTTCCGAAATTTTTGTCATGTTTGTGCGTTCGTATAGTAGTTGGTTGGAAGGGTTGTGCAGTGGGTTTTGGGGGTGTCTTATTCGTGTTATTAGTCTTAGTGCAATTTGTTCTGTTGTTTGTACGTATCGTTTTGTCCTTTCTGTTCCGTTGGCCATGAGTATATGTCCGTAGTCCAAGAGGGGTCTGCAGATCGCTTTATATATTTTTGTCGCGGTATTTGTACTAATTCCTTTGTCCTTGTATGTTAGTGATCGAAAGTGTTTTGTTCTTTTTATCATTTCTGTTCTGATGTTTCGTGTGTGTTTAGTGAATTTCAGTTTGTGGTCGATTGTAATCCCAAGGTACCTTACGTCGTTTTTCGGTTGTGTTATTTTTCCGTCTGCAGTTATTATCATATGGAATAATATCCTATCAATGAGTCGTTCGTCATTCTCACATTTTAAAGCAGCCAATCAAATGGCCAAGAAGCGTTCTCCTCTTTTCTTCACTCTTAAGTATTGCCTACGTGCCCATTTCTAAAATTATAATCAACGATTTATTCAAATTTCAATTTAAATTGTGGTTATAAGATGAATCTGAAATATTAAACAAAGGCTTAATATATCGATTTTGCGTGGGTTTAGTTTAGCAAGCCCAATAAACTTGTTGCTTGCAAAGAATTGCCTCCGTTGAAATTTACGAAGGTCGTTTGACAAAAGAATTTTGTGGAGTTTTTATCAAAATATCTTACTTGATAAATTAACGAAATCTGGATTCGAAATGTTTTTGAAACACCAAAAGAAACGCAAAGCTTCAAGTATAAAAATCCCATATTTAAATACAATCATGTTACATGAACGTACACTTCCAAAATTATCCTTGAATGGTAACTGGTTTTTACGTAGCAAACAATATAATACTAGAACTGTACGTCTTTGATGAGATGTAATTTTGCGGAAAATATAGATATCCAATGTTTCTGAAAAAAAATTAAAGAAATTAAATCAACATGTTTTCAGTTGTAAATAAATCAAACTTAACAAAATTAATTAGTTGTTTATTCACAAATTAATCAATCGCAATCGTCCTGTTAAAAACAAGCCAACAAACTCTACAGAAACACCAAACGAACAACACGTATAAACGTGCAAGTTTTACCCATGCAAAAAATATAAATAATTTGGCTTTGAATCAACATTAACATTACATACTGCAAAAAGTATGATGGTTTGTAGTTCCTCATTAATATTTGCATACACTGCGGGAAAACAAACGCAAATTTATAAATTTTTGTTACATCCGAAATAATTCACCCTTTGAATCTAAAAGTATCAATTATTTCCATTAAATCAACAAGAATATTAGTTGGCAAGTGGACAGAATTATATCAGCCAAACGTGAAAAATAATCAACAATTTCTAATTTATGTTACTATGTATTTACAATTGAAAATAATAAAGCTCTATATTTTTTTGCGATTGTGTATAATACATTATTAAATGTAACTACTTATAATTGCTGAAAACTTATTATACGTTTGCTGTAGCATTACATGTTACTAAAACTATAGGGTTTACAGTTGTTAATTAAACGGGTAGTCTAATTACTTAACAGCCAACATTTAATTTTTTTATAATACTGAAGCAACAACATTAAGGATGTTTAGGTTCTTTTTAGGAGGAAAGTTCTATTTAATACCGGAATATCAACTATTCAAACAATTTATTTAATACAAATTATATAATGATTAATGTTTCAGAAGATTTCTGGCAACTTCAACAATTATGTTGAGAATCAAAACAAACAAAAATATTATTTTTACTTTAGAAAATATAAAACTTTGGTAAATTCAATTTCAGCGGGACTGGACGAGCAATGAAGCTTTTTAGGGAAGGCAACAAAACGATTCAAAAAAAGTTTCCTAATGTGCACCTACAAAGTGTTTAAGTTTACCGTAAGAAAAATACCGTCGTTTGAAGATCGAGGCCGCTCACAAATTGCTTGAAAGAGACCAAAAATGTTGACCCTTTCGGATCTAAAGCTTTTAACGTGTATTTAAATGATCTCGTTGAATTCCTCGGTTCCGTGTGATGAAAATGATGTAAAATGCGCGATATTTTAAAGGGCTCGGATTTTCTGAAAAAAAAAAAATTTGTTGTTTGTTTTTTGAGCTCAACGGATGGTTTCCGACCTCAGAAGTTTCCTGATGTGCACCTACAAAGTGTTTAAGTTTACCAAAATATAATATCGTCATTTTTGCAAAGGATTATTCTAGTAATTAAAAAACTGACAACGAAATCAAATTTTAAGACTGTTTTGGAAGGATTAGTTGGTGTCAAGACTTGTTAATTCGCTGACAAATTAACTTAATTTAAGATTTTGTCAGAGTTAAAAAAAAACAACTATAAAGATTTTGCTAAATTATTACAACACCGCAAATCAATAGAAATTAGAAACTGAACCATAAGGAGTGGTTTTATACCCTTTCCATAGATCAACTTCTTCCTATTTTCAAATAGAGAATTAATGACATCTGAGCCAATGTGAGACTACTTGACATACAAAATCAAGCTTAAACAGCTGCCAACAAAATAAATTGTAAGAATGTGGTCAATTGCAAGACAACAGTGAAACAAATAAACAAAATCTGCAGCAAGTAACTCGAGGGAAATCGACTGCAGATAGCAAATAGATTCAATGAGCGTTTTATATCGGCCGCGCTGAATTCTTTAGAGAATTTGTTAGACATGAGTTTAGAATGCTGTAAAATAGAAGACAGGCAATTAACGTATTTAAGACGAGTTGCAATGGATATTTGGTTTAAAGTTTTACACCAAAAAATGAAGCAAAAATAACCAAAAGGAGTTAAGACAGATTATAACTGCATGCACGATTAGTATGATTTTTGCTATTTATTATATTTATATATTAGTATGAATACCCATTACAAATCAAGGAAGAAGATATTCTAGCAGTTAATACCTCGAAGTAAAAACCTACTACTAAACCTAAACTAAACACAATTGGAATTTACGATCGAGTTAATAGATAAATTGAAGAAATGATCTGAGTCGATTATTTCCTCCAGTCTGCTCAGACAAATAAATGAGTTTTGTCAAAGTCCCGAAGTACCTTTCCCAGACATCAAACCTTTCTTTGCACTTGATTTGAGTTCGTTTGACATCGAATGCTGTAATTAGTATTCCGTATTATGCTGCCATTCAACAGGTCGATCAGCGTATATTTGCCATGTATTTCGAGCGGCATCGGGTTCTTTGACATTCAAATAACTTCAATCGCAAGGCGTTGTACAATTTAACCAGGATGCGAACATATCCTGTTTTATGACAGCAAAAGATCTCAATATCCGATCAATACCAAACAAGAAAGGCTTTCTTTCATACGACCTCTTAATATAATCCGGGGAAGAACTGCTCATAAAATAGAATCAGACCGCTTCATGCCTTTTCGGAAAGCAGAGATATTTTATTTTAAGACAGAGCCACGCCGGTCAAATATTGACTGAAAGATAAGAGAATAAAGCGGGCATGTTTTATATTCCTTGCATGTTTTTGCTTTGATGTGTGCGGATTAAATGGAATCTTAAATAACACGTTGGTTTTGTTTCGCAAAAAGGTATTCGGGTCACCTATTCCATCTTGGCTTTTTTCTAGCTTTCAATAGATCTTAGGTATTTCAATTACTTTATTTGAAATACTTTGTATAACAGTATTTACTTTTCATGCAACTGTGTAGGAAAACAATTCCATGCATTTATTGTATTTTTGAATACGTTTAATATCACTTAGTAAATTAATGAATAAAGCCCCGCTTAGCAAAGGGAAAACAAGATATAATAATCAACATAAAACCCCTGTTGCATAGGTATGAGACGCCATAATAATTAAATCAAATTTCTATGGTTGGTCCAGTTGCTGCTTTATATCTGGTTTAGACTGTACAATGCTTGGTTTACCGTAATTAACCTCCCGAGTTTACAATCATGAAGCAGATTTACAATTAAAACATTTGTTTCGTATACGAATTTGATGTTGGTTATGATTCGACATCTATTTGCTCTTGCTTTCGACTTATTTGCGATGTTTTCCACATCAATTATCCGTTTGTTGACATTTTTCAAAGATGAGTCATGGGCATAATAAGCCACTGGTCTTGTAATAAGAAGTGCATATTTGAAGGTTTGGTTTTCTACTATCTTCTTTAAATTTAAATTTATCACCTCCTGGACATTGTACAATATAAGTAAATTATTGGTTCAGTCGCCTAGTACTAATATATTTAAGAAAACAGATATAGGGCCTACTCCTCAAAAAGTAGTTCAAAGTCAATTAATGCTGCAGATTGTTGTATACTATGTATTACGGCTACTGCAGTGATATCAAATTCTTCAGGAGTTCTTATGGGAATTTTACAGTCAATATGCAGATCCAGTTTTCTTCTGAACAGTTGCCAGTCTCTCGTCCTAAAAGGTAAATTTGTTAAGGTATTCACCTTAATTAAATCACAAGCATTTTGTCGAAAAAATTTAATTTGCAGTTCCAATTTATACCCTTTCATTTTCAGCTTTTCTTAAAAAATGTGATTAATCTTCTTAACAACTTGAGCCGTGCTTAATCGGGAGTTCATACAAATCAGTTAAGCATTTCTTAA